TGTGTGTTTTTGTGCTACACTAACTTTACTCTCTGTTCTAATTAAGTGCTACTGCAGATCAATGACCTTAGAATATACGCCTAGGAATCAGAGCAAAGCCCAGAGGACTGTCACACAACTGTTAACCAAAAACTTAATTTCAGTGGGCAGAAAAGGCTACAGACTATAATAATGACAGAATCTTACGAGGAAACTATAATGTACTCATATAATGCATCATATTAATATGCTAACATAATATATGCAATATTATAACTCCAAACTTTTCCAAGCAGTCAATGACAACCTTGACTCAATGTTGGCTATGTATCTAGTATTAGACTAGACCCTCTGAAAGTGATGAAGGCATTTGAATAACTGGTCCTTATACTTGAAGGAACTTAGCCATTTAATAAGCATGAGACATCAAAAAGATCTCAGATCTACATAACAAATATTCACACATTAATAATTGTAGCCCAAAATGTGCAAGTACATAGGAGGACTAGAGATTTTCTGCCACGATCCTGTGATTAATATGAGAGTTAGTGAAGAGGGGAGGGTAGCGCATGGAGGAAGAGAATAGTATTGTACTGGTCCATAGTTGCAGACAAGAAGTGGGAGGGAGGTCATGTTTGGCATCGTGGCATAGCAGACAATACTATATACAAGGACACAGGACCTTAGGCAAGTCATTTAACTTCTGCTCATCTATAAAATGACCATTATATTACCTGCCTGAAGGGAGAGAGTGGGCTGGATGCTTTAATTAATCAAGAAAGCAAATGGAGGTCAGAAGAACGTTTTTCCTAATTGGAGGAGAAATGAGAGAGCCAGACAATCATGAGGTTAACGAGTATTTTTAGTCTGTACTTATACAGGCTGGACTGATCATTACATAGCAGTTAGAAAATATGTTTGGGATGCAAAAATATCTTTTTTTTTCCCCCTTTCCTTAAATATGAGATCAGGAAGCAAACTTCACTATTACCCACGGAGGCCTTTTACCTTATTAAAAGGTAACTGAGAGCCATGGCACAACTAGATGGTACAATGAATAGAGGGGCAGGCCTGAAGTCAGAAAGATTCATCTTCAGGAATTCAAATCTAGTTCTCTGTTTCATTTTACTTATCTGTAAAATGGGATAATCGTACCTAGAGAACCTACTTCACAGGGTGCATATAAGGCTTACATGATCCTGTGTATATACAATTGCAAGCTTTAATTTGCTATATACGTGTTAGGGAGGTGGTGGATTGTAGTAGATATAGACCCAACCTCTGAAGTCCATGTTCCAGTCTTGCCTCTGACATATGCCAGGCTGGGTTACCCCTGGGCAAGTCAAATAGTCTCTTAGTATCCCAGGAAACTCTCTTTAATATTTTAAGCTGCAGAGAAGGTGCTGATCTGCCCTGGGAGAGGAAATTCCCCACTGCAAGACCTCTACATTAGTGAAATCTCAGGTATAGCAAAAAAATAAAAATGCCTACAAATACTACAACAACTCAGAGAAGAGAGGAAGAGGAAACTATCACCACATTTGGGCACAAAATGGTGAAAAGCTTAGGTGAGAGGTATGGAAATGAAAAGAAAAAAATTGATACCATAAGTACTTATATACTTCTAAAATCCATAACTTTATCAGTTTAGGTACTCCTTCCACCTTCTACACTTTAATATAAGGTCTTTATGAATTGTTGAGGACAAAAAAGGAATGAGCTTCTCTGAATTTAGCAAATAGGGTCCTTGGCTAGCCACTGAATATAATCTATTCCTGGGTATATACCCAGAAGTTTTTGCTAGCTCAGTAGGACTTCTTAGTAGAGCTGACATTCTGTTGACATATTCTTTAAGAGTCCATGCTGTGACTGGACAATGGAGTAGGACTTTATTGGAGTACCATAAATATTAAGGAAGAAAAATGCCAGAAATTTTGAAAATAGAAGAGGTGATGGGGGAGGGGGAAGAGGAAGACAAAAATGATAATAATTTAAGACTAGAAAGCAATAGCTGAAATAGCATATTGGGACAATAAATAAGTTAGGGAGGTGATGACTGAGGGAAGTTGAAAGGGATAGTGTCACACACACCTTCTATGGTCCCTTCTGGCTGTGATCAGTGGAGAAAATGGGAATCATCCACCATAGCTAGTAGCTAAAAGTCTTGTTGTTTGTCCTTTGTTCTCAAAGAGGACCATGACATCAGGAAAGTGATGTCATGCTACTATGCAGGCAGATGAACTACCGCCAGAAGCATATCAGGATAGAAAAGAATTCAAAACTAAATCACAGAGACTCAAAATTCATCAAATGAAAGAAGAATGAATATTTTTGAAACCAAGACATAAAAGGCTTTAAAGGAGAAAAAGGGACTAATGGTAAGAAAAGTCTTGCCAAAAGCAGAGGAGTCAATGGATTTGTCCAGGAGTAATTAATTGATAACTTTGATGAAAGGAAGGAAGGGAAGAAATGGAGTGAAAAGAAGCCATAAATGGTTGGGGTTGAGAGCAGGGAGGAAGAAGAGACATTCAAAATTGGGGATCTATCCTTTAGAGGGCTAAGTCTGAAAAAACAATGTAAGCTGATAAGGCCTGGGAAGATAAAGATAAAGTAGGGCATGAGTTCTCTCAGGTGGCAGAAGATCCATTTTTAGAGTATAGCTATTGAGTGTTCCCATGAAGGTAACGAAAGAAATATTCTGACCTGAAGCTCCTGGGAAATAAGACTAGATGATATAAGGGGATGGGAGTGGGGAAGAGAAGAAGATGAGAATACAGAGATTTAAAGCCAGAGGAATGTATGTCTCATGGTCTCCATCTTTTCCAAGAATTAGTTACCAGCTGTGAAGGAAATAACTTTAAAAGCAATTATAAAGCAGTTACGGTAAACTGCAGACTAGATAATCAATGATGGAGAAATGGTAGTGGTTCAAAGCAGTGTCTATATGAGAGCTGGGTCATGAGTATTCAGTTCAGCAAATATTAAATATCCACTATGTGCAAGACATATAGGATCTGGGGAAACAGAGATGGAAGAAGACCCCAAACCTGCCTGCCAGGAGCTTAAAAAGCAGATAAGCAGGATAAATCTTCATCTTATCATGATATATAGCAGAGAGTGATATGCACAAAAGAAAGGCTCACAAATATTTATGTGCTCCTCAGATCCCATCCAGTGATCCACCTCAGGTACTATGACCCCCACTGCTACTTGTCCCCTTTTCTCCCCATCTGAACCAGTGACCCTTCAGAGAAGACTTCTTGAGACCATTCTCAGTACTTCCTGATGTGGATAATCCCCTTAGCTTTGGTGCTCTTCCCTGGAGCTACAATGCCTAAAGGAGTAAAAACCCATCCAACCTACTTTATGTAGCTCACCCCAGACCATGCTTCACATTCCACTCACTTGACCTAAATATCTTGTCATACTCTCTGCTATTCACACATAACCTCCAAACCCTTTTTCCAATTTTTACTTTGAATGGTAATAGAATAAATACTATCATTGCTTCTGAAAAGGGAAAGACATTTGACTACTTTATGTCTTTACTCACCATCTGTATAACTCCCCAGACTGAAACACCTTTCTTTATCACCATTTCCTTATTAGACTTCATTAAAATACACATGTTATCGGGACAGAGATTGCTTCATTTTTGTATTTATATGCCACCCCCCTCCCCACAGAACCTAGCACAGTGTTTGGTGTGTTATAGGTACTTAATAATTGCTTTTTATTCATTCATTCATATATTGTAATTCATAGGAGTAATCATTCATTCTGCCGCATATCATGATGAGAAAGCATGTTTCTTGGATTTGTCCTCTAACATACCACGGACAGGAATAGAAGCAGCAAATGGAAGAGGGGGAAGGATCCAGGACTGAAAACTAGGATAGAAGGTGGGTGGTAAGTCCAGGAGCCCAGCTAGGTATTATGATGCTGAGTTATTTCAGTCAGAAAGGCAGGGCAAAGAAAGTAGTAAGAAGCAGAACTGCAACTCAGAATATAACTACTTCAGCAGTTACATAATTTCTGTATAAAAAAGGCATTTCATTAAATTTGAATTTGCAAAAATGTCTCCAGGATTTCTATTTCACTTATCATTTATCTAAAAATACATACTGCTTGCTTTCAGTTTTAGTTACCTCAGGGAACAGCCTAGGAGGGGCCTAAAATTGATCTTAATGAATAATACTAAAGAAACCTTCAAGGCCCTGGCTGCCAGTATTTGTCAGTTAACAAGAAAAACTATCAGCAGCTCTACTCTACCTTAAATATTACTGGAGAATTTGGGCATAAGGCAGAATTTACTCTGGCTGGCCTATCACATATTCCTTTCCATATGAATAAATACAAGTAAGGCAGGAAGTGGCAATCAAATGGCAGACCAGCACAGGATTTCAGAAGATAAGGGTCAATTCTTCCATATCTGCATGAAAGCTTTGCATATTGTAGCTTTTTTTTAATCATAGTTTCCTCTGATCTAGTAATATTATAGTTCATAAATACATTGTTATAATGTGTTAATTTAAAAAAAATAAATTGAGAAATCCTCTAGAAACATTGTGAATTATGGATTTTGTCATTAGGTGACATTTACAAAAATAAATCAGAGGAATATTATATAAAACCAGTTTCTAATACACATACTAGAGCAGAGAGATCACTTAAGAATTAGTTTTAAAAACAAAACACACCACTAGAAGGTTGCTCTATCCTGACTGCAAACACTACATCTGAACTACATAAATGATGGTATGACAGGGTTCAGTTTCATTTAATCGATGCTTATTCTCACTGCCTAGATACATAATACCACCACCTGTTACCTTTCAGGAGTGTTAACACTTAAGAGTCTATTATCTCTACCACTTTTGGTTTGCTACAGCAGACCTGGAAAGACACTCAGCTGCATGGAGACAAGAGAACCAGTAGTTGAAAGTGAGTGTTTAGACTAAGGAGCAGGGGGGGAATGGAAATAGAAATTTTTTTAAAGAGTTTCTTAGCAGTTAAAGTACCTTCTTTTGTCTGTTTTCAGCAGCAGCGAGCTGTGTAGCCATTCTCGCCTGCATTTTCCTGCAATGAGCCATGACAGCATCCAAAATGGAGAGTGGGTTGGTACAAACTGGCTTCTCTGCATCACCAGCACCTGCTTCATAGTCCCTCTGCAGAGCCAGGAATGGGTCATTTAGGTTAAATCTTCCATATCGTTCCTGAATAAACACCTCCTTCCTTCGTGCCTGAAAGAAAAATAGGACCAACTTAATAAACCATTTGTTTTCTGTTAAACATCATTCACAAATCGACTATTGATGACTTCCCTAGGCCATCTCCAAAAGTTATTCAAAATGAATGCTGTTAGTAGTGTCAATGGACTTTGTCCTTGACACATTCAGGGCCTCCTGCATGCTCTGGGTCCAGATTTTCTGGAAAATAAGGCAACTCAAAGAGATAAGTTCAAGGGACCACTTAACAGCCCTTAACATCAGTTCTGGATTACACCAGAGGGAAACTAAGAAAACATTATAGTAGGTGTGAGGATTTGGGGATATTATCTCACTCATTTTGTCACTGAATTTTATTTGCTTAAAAATCATTATTTAAATTGTATAGAAATGTTTTATTTCTGCCTGGATACCTTGCTTTTTCATAACCCTCTAGCACTCTTTGAGGAGGATACCTAGTCTTAATTGATAAGCATTTATTAAATGTTTACTATGTACCAGGCACTGTGTATAAGCATGGAAGACACAAAGGAAGGCAAAAATAGTTGCTGCCCTTAGAATTAATCAAAAACGCCAATTTAAAATATTGGGATTTGTAAAGGACTTTTTAAAGAAAATATTTCTTTGAAATTAATAGGAAAATAAAAACAAAAACACATTAATTGCAAAGCAAAATGAGGTACAAACTTATTACACAAAGACATAAAATTACTTGAGAATACTTTGTAGTTTTCTAAGACAATTTAAACAAAGATCAAAACAAATTGTCTACAATGGCTTAAAATAAACCCAGACAGAGATTCCAACCATTTTCATTTTCCAAAGAAGAAAGACTTTATAAAAATGTGGTTTATGATGGGAAGCCACCCTATTCATATTCACTAGTTCAGTACTTTCAAGAATGTCAAGATTCTGTGACAAAGTTCTCTAAGTTAAAGGAAAGAAAACAATCTCTGTCTGATTTGAAAGGTGGCAAGCTATCAGCGTCATTGTACATTTCATGTCCACTCAATGGCCACCAAATGCAATCTTCTGTAGTTAGACTAGAACAGTTCCTATATAAAATGTAAATTAGAGATTAGCAGCTAGGTGGTGCAATGTATAGAGTGAAGGCCCTGAGGTCAGGAAGACTCACCTTTGTGAGTTCAAATCTGACCTCATTAACTGAATGGCTGTGTGACCCTGGGCAAGTCACTTAGCCCTGTTTACTTCAGTTTCCTTATTTGTAAAATGACCTGGAGAAGGAAATGTCAAACCACTCCAGTATCTTTGCCAAGAAAACCCCAAATGGAGTCATGAAGAGTTGGACATGTCTGAACCACTGAACAACAAGAGATTAGCTGATAGCGGTAGGAATAGAATTAAATATTACCAAGATTTTCCTGGTCCAAATAATTCTAGAATATATCTATATAAAGTTAGGCATCAATTAGTGTGAATAATTAATCCTATGAAGTGGCTGCATTATTTGAAGTTATAATTATGTAAAATAGGGTAACTGGTTCCAGCCCAATGGAAATATGCATTTCGAATTTGAGTAACAGGACCACTTCACGGAATTCATTATTCCCACTAATCAGGACCTAACTATAGAATTAAATTCAATTGAATATATAAAAATGAAAATGTTATATTGTCATCCCTAGTACAAAAACTACTCCAACACCAAAACCAAAGAAAAACTCCAAGTTTTTTGTTGTTCAAAATGTTAAATAATAGGTGTTGTAAAGATATACTGGGCATTTTATCAGCATTTGTATTGAACAAATTATGCTTCCATCTTTAAGACAAGATCAGAAAACCAATAATTAGCCACTTTCATATTCCACATATCAAATGGTAAAATCTAATACCTTTTTCTTTAGCCATCACCAACTGTATAACAAAAATGAGAGAGACAAATTCTGCTGACTTTTAAAGGATGAATCAACTGAGTTACAAGCCCCAGCATTCTTAAATCCTCCGACCTTAATTACCATAGACATCCATCTACTGACAACCAACAACATATTTTCTAATATACCATATTAACATAACTAAAGCAGGTTACTTTATGTTTCAGAGTTTACAAAATAATTAGAAAAGTGTGGTATTCGACAACTGAAGAATACACAAATTAAAATATTTGTTGTTCCGATGTAAAGACAGATACACACACACACACACATTGTATTACATCTTATGAGTTCATATACATTCCACTGAAGAGCTGATAATTTTATTCATACCATATAATCTTCATGTAATTATTATTGCACTTTTTTTTATTCCTATGAAATAACCATCGTCATGTTTCTCATCTAGAATCTCTCCATATCTACTGGCTCCTTTCTCTGTAGCTCTCCCCCTTCCTTTTTATATGCTTTTATTTGATCTCACTATTCCTTTAAGCCATTATCCTACATGTCTTTTCCCTTTCAAAGCCAAATTTTTAGCTAGATTGTCTATACTTTTGCTTTCATTTCCAGGCCACAGGAAACTCTGGCTTCACTCCTGGCTTTTCCCCACTATGAAAAGAATAATATAGTAACTGTTACTATCTGGTAAGTTTTTCTGTTTTTGCCAGGAACCAGGCCTCCGTGATATTTCCTGTATTCTTATCACGGCTCCCACATAGGTATTCTTCCTCTCCTTTCAACTACCCTCTTTATGTGCTATCTTTCCCCCATTAAAAATGTAAGCTCCTTGAGGGCAAGGACTGTCTTGTTTGCTTCTATCTGTATTCCTAACTTTTCAGTCTGGCATATATTGAGTACTTCTTAATTCCCTTGCAAACTGGCTTCTGATACCATCACTCAAGTGAAATTGCTCTCTCCAAGATTATGAATAATCTTTTACCTGCTAAAACCAATGGTCTTTCTTAGTCCTCATTTTATTTTACTACTCTTCAGCTTTCAACACAGTCAGTCACTCCTGCCCCTACTGGATATATTTTCCTCTTCTGGGTTCCATAGCAATGTTCTTTTCTTAGTTCTCTTCTTACCTGTCAGACCACTCTCAGCATCCTCCTTGGGATCCTCTTCTTCCTGCCAACTAAGCATGAGCATCTCCCAAGGCTCTGTCCAAGGCCATCTTTTGCTTCTCTACATTCTTTCTTGGCGTTTCTAACTAGATTTCAGGAACTTACTTTAATAAATCTTGTTTGGTTTTTTTTCTTCTTCAAGTCATTACTTATTCAAAAGGTTCTGAGTTCATTTTGGCTCAAATAAGCATCTACAACTTTGAAATAGTATCCAAACCACCTGACCTCAATGAATTGCATATTGCAATCTAAGATAAGGTGTTTTCAGCAATTTTATCTTCTACTTTCTAGAGGGCTTCTGCCTGATAATGCAGTACGCGTTTAATAAGGACAGTAATTTCATTGCCTCAACCCACTCTCTGGACTTTTTTTGTTCCTTTATACCAGCTGCCTTATCACTCTGGAGGAACCTTTCCCCTGAGACTCAGCTAAACTAACTGGTGACTCAACTCTTTCAGACCACGACTTCAGAAAGGATCCCAGATATGCTTTTCCTCATCCAAGACAACTCTCCATACTTCTCCTCCTTGCCATGTGTCAGTTCCCCTTTACCTACCATTCTCCTCCATTAAAATTTAAGTTCCTTGAGAGTAGAGATCATTTTGTTTGCTTGTGTTTCTTTCACCAGCACTCAGCACAGTGCTTATACACAGTAAGTGCTTAATAAATGCTCTATGTCTCTAACTTGATATTTGTGTTAGTTTGTCTCAAACCAAATGAGTTATTAATGCTGTGAAGTAATCATTTTGAGCAAAGAAGATATTCCCTAAGGAAGTGGATAAATGAAATCACAGATAACTTCTTGATTCATGAACTAGAAGAGGGCTAAGGATGAAAATATTCATTAGGGAAAACAAGTCATTATGAAGGAGAGTTCTTTTGTTTTAATGATTTTAAAATTGGTTCTTCAAGGTAACCTTATATGTTTCTTAAACACTGTATCTATCCATTAAAAAGGGGATTTTCATCACAATTAATGGTCTTCTAAAGACCTTATTTAAAGACCTGTTATAAAACTTCACACACTGTACATGGAAATTATTCACTCATATGAAAGGATTTTCAGAGAAGAGGTAGAGTTCTAGCCCTTGGTTTTTAAATTGTTTTTATATAATAAAAGTATTTGGACAGGTTGGGAAAGCAATTATTGCTATTAAAATAATACAATTAAAAACAACCCACTATATTCAGTAAATTTTCTTTTATGTAATTCTCCCTAAAGGCAAAAGCTCAAAAGTATATGCTAGCACTAATTCCATCCATACAGGAAAACTCCTTTAAACTACACAAACATAAAATTGATGTTAATTTCTCTTGTGAAATGAAGGGAAAGTTACCATAAGAAAATGACAGTGTTTTAGAGTATGATTAGGTTCCTATGCAGACAATCTGTAAATCAGAAATGATGACTGCAATATTTCAGAAATTACTAGTGAGCTGAAAAGATTTTTTTAAAGTTATTTCATTGAGTCCAATTCATAGAGCTACAAATTAAAAAAAAAAAAGGGAGGGAGAATCATTTGGTCTCTTCATGCCCTTGGGTGCAGTATTTGATTTTCTCTGTAATTTCACCTTCATTAACATTGTTTTAACCTAATTTTCTCAGACAAATGCAGTTTTTTTCCTCTTGACTCTTCAGCCAACAAAAAGTGTTAAAAATGAAACCTTTGTGATTTCCCTAAACAATGTCTGGCTTATGGCAAGTAAAAGGTAGGAAAATTGAGAATAAATGTATTACAAAAAACTATTAAGGATAAAAGAAAATATTATAATGACAATAATAATAACTGATGTGGTTTAGGGGGGCTCAGGGGTGCTGAACTCCAAAATCACAATGCAAATCCTGCCCAAAAGAATTTGACCCAGGCCTTCTTTCAGCCAAAAAAGGTTTATTAAAGATCTGCCATATTAGCCAGAATCTTAAGTAATGTGAGCTATTGGCTAGACTGTAAGAATCTGAACAGTGGCTAGATTTTAAGAATCTAGGCATCTT